TTTGGAAACAGTACCAGACCATAGATTAAGAGAGCCAGAATGTCTTCATACGCCCTGAAGTCTAAGTCGTCCCAGAAACTGTTAGCTTTAGCAATCAGAAACTTGGCCAAGAAACCTTTAACTTTGCTTCTAGTCACCCAGTTGTCCATTACCTCTTTGGTGGTCAAAGGAAGGGCTGAAGCAATCTCCTCGAGTCTAAGAGTCTTTTCCCAACCAGTGAAGGGAGTCTGATCCAAGATAGGGATACCCAGCAAATCAGAGAATTCTTCCAGGGTAGGGACCAGCTGGAAGTCTTGAAAGGTGAAGCAGTTATACAAGGGATCATAAAACTGGGTCAGGACGCTCATCAGTTGTTGGTCCCACTTTGCAGTGACTAAACCGAGAAGAGAACCATGCCTCTGGATGAAGGAAGTGGTGTTTGGAATTCTGCTAACCAACTCTTCAAGCAACTCAGGTAGGTGAACAAAATTGAACCAGATAGTATTCCTTCGCATAGGCATCATGATGTCCTACAAAACAGAGCAAAGGTGAAACCCTCTTGTCTTTGAAATGGTCAGTCCTTATGCAGGATGCATGCAATGTCTATGATGGCATGATGTTATGATAAAGCACACCACAAATATTCACAAAGGCAAACATGATAAGGCAAACAAGTCACACAAGACAGCCCTTAGGGTTTAGGCCAGCATGAAGCTCATGTATTACCCTCTTTCAGTTTGTTGGTTAAGACCTGTCCTATCGAAAGTAACCGGGTTCTAGAGGATCCCAATATCACTGGCTACCCTCAATCGGTCATAACTCCAGCATCGCAATCTTTTCTTGCGGCCAGAACCATCGCGAGAGTTTAGCCTCAATGGGTGTAGCATACTGCTACTGTTCTATTGGCCAAGTTGGGTCATTTAAGGTTCTAAGGTCGGTTGGTGCTTAATGACTCCTCAGAAGACCCATATTCTCCTTGTTGCGACACAAGGGATATCGGTACAGACCAAGGTGCCACACCAACGTAGCCACTGTTTCACCCGTGTCGGTCTACGCCGGACAGGTCCCTCACAGCTTATGCTACCTAACAGGGTATCCCCAGATACGGGTTAGGATCTATGAAACTTCAAGACAATGCCCATAATAATAAAGCAAACAAAACACAGCAATTGAAAACACGAGTATGAGCTATCCTAAGGTACACCTCACTTTAAGTATCCCCAGCAGAGTCGCCAGTTCTGTGATCGGTGGATTTAGAACTGACTGTTTAACGCTGGTTCACGAAATGTCGCGGAAGCAAGAGTCGCCACCGTCTTTTATTTTCTCCAACATGGACAGGACAAAAGCACAGCAAAATTCCTTATGAGATAGTTCTCGGTTCGGGAGGTAGATTTATAGAAAGGGAAGGTGTTAGCACCCTTTCTATCCATGGTTATCCATGGGCTCTTAGATACTTGCTCTTATGTTTTCAAAATGTTTTCTTTTCAAAATGTGAGTGGGTTTTGCAAAAGTTTCATTGAAAGATTTCGGAATAACTCTTGTATCTGTCCTCAAGAGTGTTTGAAAAATTGTTTTGAAAGTCTTTTTTTTGAAAGTGTCAGTGCGAAAAGGTTTTTGTTTTGTTTTTTAGAAGAGAGCAAGTATCTATGAGCCATCTACCTACCCTAAAGAATTAGGCTGTGTATAAGTCCTTAAGGTAGTGCCATCCCACCATTGAGGGGTAGGTAGCACCACCGTTGGAGGTGTTCGGGTCAATTCGTTTGTAGGGACAGTGTGGTCACCGAAGCAATAGTAGGATACCTTAGAAGCTACCCTAATGTCCTAGATCCTTTTATCCGAGGCAACCATTTCGAGGCAACTGGATCTTAGACATCAGAGCGACCGCTAAAACGTCCTATTCTCGACGACCACGTTTCGAAGGTAAGGCAACGAGTGAGGCGTACCCTAGAAGTGGTGTGTGTATTTGTGTGTTATTTTCAGTTTAACAGTTATCTTTGATCATGGCATTGTGAGCTACGCTTGTTTTTAATTAGCATACATTCTTTCATACAAAGTTAGAATTTAAGAGTGCGGAAAATTAAAAGACGGAAAGATAAAAACTACGCTATTACAAGGCGCGAGTCTATACATCGCCAAAATACAAAGACCCGTTTTTGATAAAATGCGGAAAGTAAAAAGACCTAATTACTATTACATCCGGAAAGCAGTTATATAATAATCACTAAAAGAAAATAAATGTGCGAAAAGAATTAATATTGAACGTCCGAGGGTTTTGACCCTTTGCTCGAAATTAAATGAAATTAAAGTCTATTGAATTATTTAATTAAAGAAAGGAAGGTGTGTTTTTTATGTTTTTGGTATTTATGAAATAAAAGAAATTTAAAATCAAGATGAAACCCTAATTCTATATATTTTAATTATTAATGAAAAAATATTAAAGTTACCCTAATTTACGCTAATTAATTAATTTACATGTTTATTTACAAAAATAAATAGTAATTATAATAATAAATAATGAGGGTCAATAATAATAAAAAAGGGATAAATCGAAACCTAATTCTACAGAATTTTATTTATTAAGAAAAGTGTTAAAATTAAACCTAAATTAAACTAAAGTTAATTATTAAAATTTATTTACAAAAATATTTTAGTGGTGAAATTAATAATAATTAAATATATTTGTATTTTTGATTTTTCTGTTTTTATTATGGAAAATCATTTTATGGTGAAAAAACAATTAAAACAATTTAAAAAGAATTAGAATTGAAAAGAAAATAAAATTAAAAAGATGCAAACCAAGGGGGGTTTCAGGCCCAAATGGAGGTTTGTTGGAAGTAATTCAGGCCCATTGACAAAGCCTTTGTTTGACTTTTCAGATTGAGTGCGTGCTGTTGACTGGAGTATACCCTGGATCTCATTCAATGGCCCTCGGATTATTGATTAGGACATCTGGCAAGCCAACGCGTGAGGGTGTATCATGAAGTTCTGGGCACGTGCTGCATTGGAATATATTGAAACAAAAAATAACAATTATGTGGGGGGACCTGGGAATCGAACCCAGGTCCCAATGCTTGCAACACATGTCTTCCACCATCTGAGCTAGGCAACGCGTTTGTAATATAAGTGGAAAACAATAATTATATAAAAAAAACAAATGTTAGTGGTATAAAACAAAAAAAAACGCGCCAGATTTTGAACTATCCAACCATGTGATGACACGCCAGTCTTTTTCTTCGTTTATCTGCAAAACATGAATGAGATAGCGGGGGTTTTAAACCCCCACTAAGTGGAACAGTGAATAATAGCGAATAGAAGAGGAGGACATATAAATTGAGCGCGGGAGGTTGGTTGAATTCATCTGGCCTTGACGAATTCAACCATGGCCATGACGTAGTCCAATTTTTCCCTATGCCTAAAGCCCCAAATGCAAGCTTCAGAAAACCTAATTTTCGTCCATGGTGGATTTGGATTCAGGCAGTGTTAGTCCAATTAACTTATACCAATCGCTTCAGGAGGTACCTATTAGTATGAATCAAGCAAGAAAACAGATTAAAAGCACATGAATCATGTTATGCAAGATTCAAAAACAAGACAAACCGTGTGGCCTAGGTTCTTGGATTCTTCACGTATTAGGATTGATTCTTGATGCCACAAGACTCCTGGAAGGTCCAGCAATGTGTTAGAATACTTTTTAGGCTTTGAAACGTCCTGTAACTATGAGATCAGTTTCACACTTTTCTTGGATTTTTTGCAAATTGGTTCTCTATTCTCAACAGCTTTTTCGTGTCCTTCTCCATAGGGTTAGGTCTTGCATAAGTATGTGAACGATTCTAGGTCAAAACCTTGGCCCAAAAGTCCATGAATTGATGTTTCATATCTTTGATTTTCATCATATATTTTTCAATCTTTTTTCATTGAAACCTTTGCCAATTATGGATGATTTTCCTTTTTTGAATGTGAAACGACTTGGCCAGCTTGCCCTGATATGATTTGCTGCACAAAAAGATCTACAAAATCATATCTTTGAATTTTCTTATAATAAAAACTAATTAAATGAATTAATATAAATATAAATTCAATTAATTAATTAAAAATAAGAAAATAAATTATTTTGAGCTCATTGGGTCGTGCATAGGCTTTGGGTAATGATTCAAGAAATAAATTGAGGCCCATTAGCAATTTTGAAGTGTTTTAGGCAAAGTTGACTTTTAAAAGTTCCCAAAAATTTCCCAACTTCTCCAATGCATATCTTGCTCAATTTTGAAGCTATGAACATTTTCTTGGACATTTTGGAAAGGTCTTGAAGTCCTCTAACCAATGACTTTGGTCCCATGTCATTTTGATTTACCAATTTCAAGTTATGGTCTTTGACTTAAAGTGCCTTTTTGTTGACTTTTGAAAATGACCTATAATGTTGAAATTGATAACTTTTTGTGAGAGCATTTCTTGGACTTGGAGTGTGAAGATGAGTTGTAGGAAATGTCATCCTCTTCAAAATGAGCTTTGGATGGGATTTTTCTGATAAACCATGAAGAAGTTATGCCTTGGTCAATTTGCAGTTGACTTTTCAACTGTCCAAAAATAGAAACTTTTGCATCTTGAGACTTTTTGAGCTATACTTGTGGAATCATGATCAAGAATTGATCAAATGAGGATTGTGGCTTCAAAATAAGATGTTGACCAAAAATTTTGACTTTTGACTGTCAAATGACCATTTTTCCCCTACAGTTGACTGTGGAGCATTTAGGGTTTTTGGCTGTGCAATTTGATGCTGTGAGTCTTGAAACTTGACATATGGATGCTTGACAATATATGTAGGCATGTGGGACTTGATTGGACCCTTGAAAACCTCAATTTCTTTGCAAGAACCAAAACCCTAATTTTGACTGTGTTAGGAGGCAATTGGACTGTGCAACCCTTGAGAGATTTTGAACCATGATTTTGCCAAACCTTGAAGAATATGGGAGGGCAAATTTTGGGGTACAACAATATGCAACCACAAATCATAAATAAAAGTAAAGTCAAGAAAAACTCACAAACATTGTGAACTCTCGAATATTTGGTGAACTTTTGAGCAAGCAAAGAACAACCGAAATTTCCTTCGAATCAATGAAGTTTATTAATAAACCAAGATATGTTAGATTCATACAAGGAGTAGGCAGCTTTACTGGCACAACACCTGCAGCCAAGTACTGACACAAAACAAATAAACCATCACTAAATCAGAATATGATGTTGTTAATACTTACATATAAATAATTGCATAGACTTTATTGTAGTTCATGTAAAATTTGTAAGGGCCGCACACGCATTAGGTGAGTCTATCATTAAAAGTGTGAGCATTATACCTTTAGAAAATAATCACCAATCACTAGCCTCACAATGTGAGGTTGATGATCGAAAATCTTGAGCAAATTGCTAGAGCATCCATGCAATCTACGTTGATTGCTTTCAGAGTGCACATAAATATTTAAAATAACCATTACATTAGATAACTGGAAACTGTTTTCAAAGCTAATATCCTCAAAATTACCAAAGAAGTGAAAAATCTTGAGATTTGGTGCATGAATATTAATCTGGGTTAAACCATCAACTTCTATCAATTTCAATTTTTCAAGCAAAGGGCAGCCGGATATCAAGTTTTCAAAAGCATCTTGAGTCACTGTTACCCATTCCAGCTCAAGACCTCTCAAGTTTCTAAAGCCTTCAAAAGTCATTGGAGGTTTAAGACAACAATAATATAATTTTAAACGACATAAACTTTGACAAGAGAACAAGCACGAAGGTATCTTATAGCGCTGCACCATCGAAATTTTAAGCACAATCTCTTTAATAGACCTTCCAGTTAGATGAAGAATCCAGCGATGAATATCAGCCAGAGAGTTCACACCCATGATATTAGAACCAGAGTTGGAGAGCTTGAACTTGTTGATTAGGCCAGAGTGAAGTAAAAGTACATGATCAATCATCCTCAAAAACTTGCGCCGTATAATTGAAAGGTCTTCCAGAGCCAAAGTAGATACACTTCATTTATCGAACACAAGATCTGGTTGTGTGGACCATTTCTTCCCCCATTTGCGGGATAAAACACTAGTTCTCCCTGCCTCCTTAATTGACAAATATGAGAGAATCTTGTCTATAAGTTGATCCGGCAAGCAATTAATTCTATCAGACTCTATGTCCGTCATTTTTAGGCGGGTAGCTTTCACTGATTTTATGTACATACAAGAATCAGAAAACATATTAGGTATTTATGTATGCATGTAATAATCATAGTTATGTCCAATAAAAGAGAATTTTAAAAGATCACATTATATTATAAAATAATACAAAGATAATTTACATTTTTCAAATCCAGATGAAACCCAGATAAACAACTCATTCATGAAATTGAATGGAATGCATAATATATCATTCATGCAAGATTCAAGAAGTAATACATGATATATGAAAGTGATTCAATGACAAACAAAAAATTAATCAATTAAGAAATGATGAATTGCATTGAATATTGAGTTGGGAATGGAAGAACTCACCAAAGTAAAAGGGTTAGGGACTCATGAGGTAAAAAAATGTCACGTAACACTTTTATGCTTTTCGATAGTATGTGTTTTTCAATATTTATTTTGTATTTATAATAATAGAACAACCACATATTCACGATGATTTTTTAATCCATTTTAATAAATGAATTTGATGGTCAATTTGAAATTCATATTAATTTTTAATAATTCTAACTTGACATATCACACAACAATAATCAACTAGAATCACGGTATTAACTAACTTGCTTATATCACCTATTATATACATAGTTTGGTTACTCTACTGTAAGGTTTTTTAAATATGGAAAATAGTAGTTAATAGTTATTTAGATGATACACTATTGTATATTATCACTCTTACGGAGTGGAAAAATGTCTTTTTTACTCGCACTTTAGTTTGAGGTAGACTAAGAATTTAGACTCTCACTCTCTAACGTAATCGTCTAGTTCCGCCTTTTTTTTGCGGATTTTTGCAGGAACGAACATTAACATAAAATTTTATATTTTTAGGCTTAAAATGTGCAGTGTTCGCAAATTTTCTCTATCCTACACTCTCTTTTTTTTGCTGGACGGACCTAGATTTTAGGCCGTCATATTCAACTATGCTTGCCCCTCCGCGCCCCATTTTTTGCGGACTTTTACGAGATGGGGCTAAATGAAGCGGGCATGCCCGTTTGCCACTCCTAACACTTCTCAGGTTAGTTATCATAGTGCTTCATCATTATATAAATAAGAAGGTGTAATCTCTATTTCACTTCAATGAAGAATTATCCACATTTTATATTATGGTATCTTGAGCCATCATGAAAGAGTTTCACCTTGAATCTTCTTCTTCTATCAATTTCGATCCTTCTTTTTCAGTCATGCATTACGCTACAATTTCTTCATCAAGATCAATCAATCACTGAAATATTGTTGTTATCTTGTGTAAATCATTCAGTTTTTTTTTTATTTTGTGATTCGTTCTTTATTTTAACTAATTTGTTGTTCTTTAGTTTTTTATCTTCTTTGATTATTTTAACTGATTTATTCAATTCTATTTCCTCGATTGTTCATCCATTCTCTGATCATATGACACCACCTCGCAATGAAAATATGATCCCAATTCAACTGCAACTCCATTCTGTTTATTACGTTCACTCAAGTGATTGCCTGAATCCAGTCATAGTCACCCTTAAACTCGATGACACCAATTATGTTGGTTGGAGCATATCCATGTGAAAAACTCTTGGTGCAAAGATAAAACTTTCCATGGTTTATCACTCAGAACCTATACTAGATGATGATGATGATCCCAACATATCATAAATTTTGTTTCTGAATCTATTACTCAAACAATTTTATATCATGATAATGTAATTAAATTTTAGGATAACTTAAAAGGAAGGCTTTTAAAGATTGATAGAGTTCGAGTTTCAACACTTAAATATCAACTTAATTCTCTAAAACAAGGTTCCAAATTTTTTCTTGAATACCTCATAGAAATGAAAACAATATGGGATGAGTTGAGTGTACACATGTGTTGTACCCGAATTTTTGCCCCTAAGATTCACCTATCATATCATGTCAACTTGATCATAACAAGATCACATTAGGGATGGTTCTTCCTCTTTTTCTATCTCCTATCTTTAAGTTTGCTCTTGAGGAATCTCCAAGCACCTTGGTTGTGTATTTTGTATATGTGTTGTTGACTAAATTCTAATCCAAATACAAAAATATTTGTCTTTGTCTTTGTATATTTTTGTTTTGTAGGCACCAAATCGAAGCATCTGACAAATAAGGATTTCTGAGGCTTGTGTCGAATTCATGTAAAGCAATCAATTTTGTGTGTGTGGAAAGACAACTTGTATCAATCCGCAGAGGCTTGTGTCGAACGCATGCAATTTGATTGATTCTGCATTGTGTCGAAGGCAGCTTGTATTGATCCATAAAGCTTGTGTCGAACTCATGAAAGTTGATTTGTTTCTGTTTGTGGCGAAAGACAGCATGCATCGACCCATAAAGGTATGTATCGACTCATCTTATTGTGAATAACTAGAATGTGTTGACACATACATGTATGTATCGGCTCATCCTGTTTGTATAAATAGCATGTGTCGACACATGCACGTATGTATCGACTCATCCTGTTTGAATAACTAGCATGTATCGACACATGCATGTATGTATTGACTCATCTTGTTTGTATAACTAGGATGTGTCGACACATACGTGTTATGTGTCAACTCATGCAGTTTGTTTGATTCTGTAATGAGTTGAAATAACAGTATGTATCGACACATATAGGCATGTATCGACACATGCTGTTGTTGTACCCCAAAATTTGCCCTCCCATATTCTTCAAGATTTGGCAAAATCAAGCTTCAAAATCTCTCAAGGGTTGCACAGTCCAATTGCCTCCTAACACAGTCAAAATTAGGGTTTTGGTTCTTGCAAAGAAAATGAGGTTTTCAAGGGTCCAATCAAGTCCCATATGCCTACATACATTGTCAAGCATCCATATGTCAAGTTTCAAGACTCACAACATCAAATTGCACAGTCAAAAACCCTAATTGCTCCACAGTCAACTGTAGGGGCAAAATGGTCATTTGACAGTCAAAAATCCAAATTTTTGGTCAACATCTTATTTTGAAGCCACAAACATCATTTGATCAATTCTTGATCATGATTCTCAAAGCATGGCTCAAAAAGTCTCAAGATGCAAAAGTTTCTATTTTTAGACAGTTGAAAAAGTCAACTGCAAATTGACCAAGGCATAACTTCCTCATGGTTTATCAGAAAAATCCCATCCAAAGCTCATTTTGAACAGAATGACATTTCCTACAACTCATCTTCACACTTCAAGTCCAAGAAATGCTCTCACAAAAAGTTATCAATTTCAACATTATAGGTCATTTTCAAAAGTCAACAAAAAGGCACTTTAAGTCAAAGACCATAACTTGAGATTGGTAAATCAAAATGACATGGGACCAAAGGCATTGGTTAGAGGACTTCAAGACCTTTCCAAAAAATCCAAGAACATGTTCATAGGTTCAAAATTGAGCAAGATATGCCTTGGAGAAGTTGGGCAATTTTTGGGAATTTTGAAAAGTCAACTTTGCTTCAAAAGCTTCAAAATTGCTAATGGGCCTCAAATTCTTCCTTGAATCATTACCCAAAGCATATGCACGACCCATTAAGCTCAAAGGGATTTATTTTCTTATTTTTAATTAATTAATTGAATTTTTATTTATATTAATTCATTTAATTAGATTTAAATATGAGAAAAATATCAAATAATGGTTTTAAATCTTTTTTGTGCAGCAAATATGTTCATTATATGCAAGAGATTTTGTGCACCATCTCAAGGGGACAAGATCATCCATAATTGGCAAGATTGGCATGAAAAAAGATTGAAAAAGATATGGAAAAAATCAAATATTGAAATCATAAATGGATGGACTTTGGGCTTGTTTTCTTGACCTAATTTGCTTCATGTACAAAGGCACAACCTAACCTAATGCACAAGGACACGAAAAACTGCTCACAAGCATAGAACAAAATTGCAACTTTTCATCAAAATTTTGAAATCTGAAATCACAGTTAGAGCACGATTCAAAGCCTAAAACCTATTCCAAACTCTTGCTGAGACTTCCTTGAACGTGTAGCAATCACTTTCCAGTCTCCAAACTCCAAGAATTGGTAGAACAGAGTCACACTTTTCATGAATATTTCCATAATCATTTTTTAATTTTCATGCATTATTCATGTGTTTTATTTATTGATTTACACTAACAATGATGTTCTGAAGCGAATGGTACCATTTAATTGAACTAACGATGCTTGTATCCAAATCTGCCATGGATGAAACCTAGGGTTTCAGAAACTCCAAATTAGGGGTTCTCATATATGGAAAAATTAGACCTTCAAACTGGTACAGTTGAACTCGTGGCATCAAGACGAAGCTATTAAGACCATCGCGCCCTTTTTATATTACAGCATGCTCTAATCGCTATTTTCATAGTTTGCAGTTTGTGGGGGTTTAAAACCCCCGCTATTTGTTTTCTATTTGCAGGAAGAACGAAGACGAAGCTAGCATGTCATCATGTGATAGAGGCATTCAAACTTGGCGCGTGATTTTTTGTTCATAACATTAACGCTTGTTTTTTTTATATAATAATTATGCTCCATTACATTAACAAATGCACGCGTTAGTTCAGTTGGTGGATGAGTTGTCTTGCAGGTATTGGGACCTGGGTTCGATTCCCAGGTCCCCTATATGTTCAATAATTTTTGTCTTAAAGTATTCCTATGCAGCGTTCAAACGAAGGTTCACCATGCACGCACATGCTAAGGCCTGACAAGTGGCTTCAAGGACCAATCTGAAGGCTGCAGGAGGAGGTCCATGGTACACTCAGTCAACCATCCCACACGTGATCCCAAGAAGTCAAAAAAGGCTTTGTTCTGATGGGCCAAAATTGCTTACAAAAACCTCCATAATGGGCCAGACACCCCCCTTGTTTGTATTCTTTTTAATTTCCCTTTATTTTCTTTTTTGTTTTAATTTGTTTTAATTGTTTTAATTGTTTTATTTAATTCACCTAAATTAATTTTCATAATAAAAAAATCAGAAACTAAAATATGTTTAATTAATATTTAATTCA